TTTAAGGGAATTAATACTTTTACTGCCTTTTGTTTTGATTTGAGGCAGAACTTATATTGAGCATACTCAAACTTAAAGACACTGTCAGTGAATTATCTCTGTATAACACCACCCAGATCAGATATAGAACATGTTCATAACCCAGAAGTTTCCTCTGTTTTTTTCTGGACAATTCCCATCTCCTCAAATATCTTGGTTGTTTTGTTGTCACTGGGACAAACTTATTCAACACCCATAATTTAAAAAGATGAGAGATTTGTTTTGGCTCACATTTCAGACCATAGTCAGCCAGCTCTAAAGAAGAAACACCACGGTGGAGGGGTGCAGTGGAGGAAAAGCTACTCCTGTTCTCCTATTATCTAGCCAGGAAGCTGAGAGATGGAAAGGAAGAGGTGAGAAGGGAGATATGGACAGCCAGGGACCCTGCTCCTCACAGCAAGTCAGCCATAGTGCCCCCCTCGTTAATTCGCCTTCCAAAAACTCCAGTGATGAGCACAGGAGGCTCTTGGGGACATCTAGATATTTGTCCCATGGACCAAAAAAAGGCTCACGCACATCTCTTTAATCAAAATGCAGTTTAGTTGCTCTCTAAGAGTTGTTTAAGTCCTACTAGTTACAGCATTACTGAAAAGTCCAAGTCCAAAGTCTCCTCTGAGTCTCAAAGCAGACTCTTACCTGCAAGTCTGCAGAAAAGCATTAAAACCTATAGCTCTGTGTCCAGTACCTAAGGCAAAGATGTAAACTACAAAGGCCTTGGGTGGTAGCCTCATCCCGACAGCATTGCTAGTTGCAGCTGTCATGACATCTCTTTTGTGTTGGCTTTTGTGTTGGCTTCCTGTAGCTTCATATGTTCCATTTTTCTGGCATCTCTACCTTTCTGGACTCTCCCCTGTACTTTTAGTTTTATTTTTATAGTTTCATGCACCGCCTACTCAGGAACACATTGCCTTCTTCTGGAATCTGGGTAGAAGCCACCATGACTGCATAGCTTTTGCCTTCTGTATATCTATAAAATCAACACCATGTAGATGACACCAAGGTCTGCTGTCAGCCCAAGGAGGAGCCAGACTCATGGCTGCAGAGGCCTCTGAGTGCCTGGCTGAGGCACTGGGAAACAAACCCCAAGGAATCAATCTAAGTGGCCTTTCTTGTGTAGTGTGCTATGGGACTCTCTCCTCAAAGCAGTCTTTCAGTTTCATACCCTGGAACTTCTGAAAGGTGAAGTTTTGCTAATTTCCAGCGTATATTCCAGATTTCCCTGTTATAAAGTACTTGGCTTCTTTTTAATGATAATCTTCTTAGCACGTAAGCTCTCCTCTACCAAAACATTACAGAAACTTCTTTTCTGTAGAAAATTAAAACTTTTAAAATCACTCAGCTGTACCATTGGCTCTTGATTCTCATCATAGAAGTGGAAAAAAAAAACCTGCAGTACTCATGCCACAGCTTAAATGTTGGGCTGCCTTGACATTTTCTCTGTCAGATGAATTAATCCATTGCTCTTAATCTCAGTCTTCTGCAAAGACTCAGGACATGAGAAAAATGTAGACAAATATTCTTCCAGAGGATAACACACATGGCCCCAAATCCAACTGCCAATGCACTCTTTGTTTCCAACTGAAACCTGACCCTAACTTTACCTATTGCTTTTCTACCTGCATTCTGGTCTTCTGAGCTCTGACCAGAATCTCTCACCAAGCTCAGTTCAGAGAATTTTAGGGATTCTTTAGCTGACATGTCCAAATCTTTCCAAATTCCCCAAAGAACTAGTTTCAAAGGCTTCTAAACCACATGATCAGGTAGCATTACAGCAGTGACTTCATTTCTGTGATATCAAGATCTGTCTTAGTTACTTTCTCATTGTTGGGACACAATACCTGACACCCACAAGAGGAGAGGTTTATTTTGGTTTATGTTTCAGTTCATAGTTGGCAGGTTCCCAAGAAGAAACAGAATGGCGGAGAGCCTTGGTGGAGGAAAAGCTGCTTCCTTTGTGGTGGCCAGGAAGCAGAGAGAGCAAAGAGAGATGGGGTCATGTCCCCAAGTGATCTGCCTCTTCTGACCATACCTTACCTGCTAACAGCAAGCCAGCTATAGGGTCCCCATAATTCATTGACCTCCCAAAAGCTCCACCATGAGAACATGAGATTTTGGTGGGATATCTAGATATAGACCATTATATCAGGGCAACTGCTCGTCTGACTTCCATAAACATAGAGGAATGTCCCTTTGTTTACACTCCACTTACAATTAAGTTGTACAAGACTTTTGAATCTGATTTCTGTCTCTTAAACACTATGTATGTATAATGCATCCACAGTAGTAGTGGCTAATTCTTTTTTATTTTTTTTATAGTAAACTACTGCCTGAATAAACCATGACTGACTTATTCATTTCACTGTGATGGGATCTAGGTTGCTTTCAGGCTAGTGTAAAGCTGCTAAGAATATTTGCATCAGTGTCATGTGGTGCCCATAAGCACTCATTTCTGTTGGGAGTGGAATTGCTGTGTCATAAAAAAAATGTGTGTTTAGCTGTGTAGAGAGCCACTGGACAGTTTCCCAAGAAGCTACACTGATTTTCACTCTTTTCTGCAGTACGTGGGAATGCCAGTTGCTGTGCACTCTTGCCTATCCTTGGTACTGTCAGACTTTTTAATTATAGCCATGCTTGTGAGTGTTGTTAGCATTTCCCTGTGGCTTCAGTTTGCATTGCTCTGGTGCCTACTTATGTTGAGAACTTTTTCACGTGCTTATTGGTTGCTTGGGTTTCTCTTGGGTGAGGAGGGTGATTGAGTCTTTTAAGACTTAAGTTGTCTGTTGCTTATCCTCTTCATTTTTAGGATCAGTCATTCATGGTATTTTGTCTTTTAATTGATTCATAACCTGCAAATGTGACTGAAGAACCCATAAGTCAGAGAATTCCCTCCAGGGCACTCATCATGTTGTCCAGTGTGCTTTGGCCATCTGTTTGCCCCTTTCAGTTTCCAAATCAGTGGTCCACTTTCTTCCCCGTATCCTTCTCTTAGTCTGTATTATAACGGTGCTTTCTTCCTGACTTTCTTTAGATTGCATGAGGTAGAAATGAACTCTGAGGGCTAAACCCCCAGTGACTCAGTCATCATCTGTGAGGTCTCTAAGTATCTGGGAGTTTCATGTGGCCTCCCAACATGAGGTCTCTAAGTACTTCTTGAAGTTCCATGTGATCTCCCAACATTGCTGCCCCTAGTGGCCAGGCTTCCAGCACACGAACCTCTGGGAGACACGCTCCACCCACACCATAGCAGGCTTTGAGGATACATCCAGGCCACCTCACTGCCTTTTGAGCAACATGTGATTAGGCACGAAGCCTTGTCAGAGATCTGGGGGTGTGGAGGGATGAGAAGGGAAAGAAAGATGTTGGAATGTTCTTAGTTAGCTTTATCTCATCAGCCCTTGTACTAGGAATTTCAAATCCCCCAGATATCTCTGCTGTCATCCAACACCTGTCTTTCACTTCTGCCGAGATCCCCAGGAATGGAGGACAATTGTTCTGAACATTTCTGTGCCTGTGTTTTATGTATGAGTGGATGAGACCTGCTTTGGGACAGCAGAAAGGGACTGTTACATCGTAGCTGTCCAACTCTTTGGACACATTGCCTGGGATGCATTGACTGAAGAGTAATTATCTTAGGAAGTATATAAAATGTTTACTATGTATAGATCCTTATATGTTTCCTATAAATAGATCCTATATATAAATAGAACTTCTGTTATTTTTTAAACTTTGACTTATTAAATTATTCTACTAAATAATATAACAAGCTTAAATTTAACAATGAAATAAGAAGACTTACCTGGCTACTTCGTGACAGGTACATGTTAGGTGTAGACAGGCAAAAGCACTTTTATTAGCAATCAATGTTTTACTTGCCAAGTTGCACCAGCACTCAGAAGGTCTGATGCATGTGGGCTTTGAATTTCTGTTGGGCTGACCCTGCGTGGCAGGTGCAGAAGGCAGAGTTCAAACTCCCTGTACCTCCCTTGCACTGCGTTCAGTCATTGCCTGCAGGGTCTGAGCTCTCACACTGCACATCGGGCATGAGACATATCACTCAAAATCACATAATAATGGCAGAGCTGGGTGTGATGACACCGTAACCCCAGCACTCAGGGAGATTGTGTTCTTGTGGGGCGTATTACTAGTTCTTCAGGGCTGCATCCTGGATGCCAGCTGTGTTATGACACACTTTCTAGACTCAAGTGTTCCCTCTCTTGCCTTTATATCACCCCTTGTGATTCAGAAGAAGGGGAAACAAGTTTTGTGGGTCCAAGGATGTTAGAACTCGTGTAAACTAAAACACTATAGACCAGCATGATACAGACTCCTAGAGATGAGCTCTCTCTCTCTCTCTCTCTCCCCCCCCCCGCTGAATAATCAGCTGATCTACTTTGAAACAAGATCAAGCGATAGAGAGGGAAAAGGAATGCCTTTCTTTTTAGCTTTGGTAATGAAGAGTTTCTCCTCCTTCTCCTCTTTCTCCTCCTCCTTCTTCTTTGGCTTTTTAAGACAGTATCTGACTATATAATTTAGTGGCATTAGCTCACTTTGTAGCCCAGGCTGGTTTTGAGCACAGCACTCCTCCTGCCTCAGCCTTCAGAGTGCTGGAATTATAGGCATGTACCCCTACACCTAGCAAGAGTTCCCTCCGGTCACTCTTTCCCTCTTAACTGCTACTCAGATGCTGGAAGGAAGTGGTGTCCTGCTGGGTAAGAAAGGATGAGGAAAGATTCCATGTGGTACACCCACATGTGTATGTGTGAGTACGTGTGCGTTTCCTCCTCCCTCCTCCACGACCACCTCCAGCCTGGCATGAATTCTCAGTTAAATGGCCCCAGAAGGCTATTTACAGTGCCCTCGCCATTCATAGAGATTTGCAGTGATTTTGTGTGCGCATTGTGGTGTCTGGAGTGCATAACTGTGGGACTGGCGCAGATAAGGATCTCTTTTTCCATTTGTAGGCTGGCTATGATGGTGAGAGTATTGGAAACTGTCCATTTTCTCAGCGTCTCTTTATGATTCTCTGGCTAAAGGGTGTTATATTTAATGTCACGACTGTGGATCTGAAAAGGTAAGACTTTGGCAGAATTGAAACAACTGGATCTAATTCCCCACATATACCTACACATACAAGCACACAAACATACAAACCCCTATGGCCCATGGGCCATGTTATGGGCATATCCAGTGGCCAGAAGTCTGAGGTGAAACCTCACTGTGGGTCCCCTAGTGAAGTCACAGGAGCGGATGTCTTGTGGTCAGAAGGAGGAGGAGTTGGTGGCCATAAGGAACCTGCTGTCCCAGGTCAGCTGTGAACCTTTCAGAAACCCATCTGAGCACTGCTTCTGGCTCATAAGACTGGGAGAGTTTATATTTTTTTCTCTATCTGCACAAAAAAGAGCCATAAAAACACGAATCCAACCCACAAGTTGTTAAAGCACATCTGTACTTTCATCACAAGTCACCCTTCTGCAAACCCAAAGTGTACTCTGAAATTGTCAACGGTCATATCTGTAAGGGGGAGGACACTGCTAGGCTTTGGGATTGAATGCGAATCTTCCAGGCTGCCCACAAAGACGGTCTCTGTCCACTCCTATGCAGGAAACCCTCAGACCTGCAAAACCTGGCTCCTGGAACAAACCCACCTTTTATGACTTTTGATGGTGAGGTCAAGACAGATGTGAACAAGATTGAGGAGTTCTTGGAGGAGAAGTTAGCACCCCCGAGGTAGGCCGTCTAACACCAAGGTGCGCAAGATGGTCGGTGCCTTCGCCTGGGGAACAGACCATTTGGGAGCTCTTACCTGTGTGTTTGGCTTCCTGAAGCCTCAGTGCTTCCTGTGTTTCTTGTCCCCTGGGATGGGCTGCAGGAAGCTAGGCCCAGGCTAGAAGCCTTGCCTGAAGGTGGTCTGGACTTCCCTGTTATGCACCTGTGGCCAAGCAGCTAGAGTGGGGTGGCAGGAGGCAGGGAGGAGGTGCGATGGCACAGGGGTCAGGTCCCATGGACTGTGGGACTCGGAAGGACCCTTCCAAACCATCACCTTCAATAAACCAGGGAGGAGGTTACAACCTGCTGCTCTGAAACCTAGGCCTGGTCATCAATAAGACAAAACCTCTCCATCCAGAATATTCTCCCAAATCACATTGCTTCCTAACTTCGAAGAATAAAAACAGGAAAATAATCAAGGAGAGGTTTTTGTTTTTACATTTACCTAAAGAAGGACAGTTTTCCCCATGGGTTTACTTAACTCAAACACTGCTTCTCTGTGACACTCCAACTTTGAACTTCTCAAGGTACCCGAAGCTGGGGACCCAACACCCTGAATCTAACTCTGCAGGAAATGATGTGTTTGCCAAATTCTCAGCATTTATTAAAAACACCAAGAAGGATGCAAATGAGGGTGAGTACCTCCCACCTCTCTGTTTTCGGTTGCTACATGTTCTTCTAAGTGGCTGCTTATAAAAACCTGGAAATTCAGAGAGAGTAGAGATGAGAACCAAGAAATAAGGAAAAAAGTACCTTCAACTTGAGTCTGCACGTAACTTCAAGACACTGTATCCTTCTAGAAGTTGGGAATCCAGAAAACAATACTTAGGGGAAAATTTTCATCACTGAGGTAGCTCCAGATGTGCCTCAAGAGATTTTAAAGATGCTTCTACCCACACTGCTCTCATTCTAAGTGTCCATACATATTTTTTGAAGAAGTAGAAGAGTCCTAGCAGCAGCAGTGTTGTGTAGACAGCAGGAACAGTCCTCCAGGAAGTGAGTCCCTACTCAGATCTGCTGTATCCGCAGCCTTGGCTCCCTGCACGCGCTGCTGGCTGGTCACCTCTCAGGATAGAAGGGGTAGCATTCATTCCTTTGTTCACTCTAGGGACAAGTGGCACTCACGGGCATGGTCACTCTTGGTAACGTCTTGCCTTTCTGTGTTAGTTTATGAAAAGAATCTGTTGCGGGCCCTGAAGAAGCTGGACATTTACTTAAACAGCCCTCTGCCTGATGAAATAGATGCCAGCAGCCTGGAGGACGTCTCTGTTTCAGGCAGGAAGTTCTTGGATGGGGATGAGCTCACGCTGGCGGACTGTAACCTCCTACCCAAGCTGCACATTATAAAGGTTGGTCTCTCTTCCTGACACCAATGCAGAATGCATGAATGAGGCTTTGTTTCATTCTATCTTGACTTGTGGTTGAGTCAGACATTTAAACAGTCTGAAATGCAGACTCTCGAATTAAAAACTAGCTCATTTCTGTTTGAGGCAGCCAAGTGCCAGGTTTCAGATACACAGCATGATGGCTCCAGTTCTCATGGAATAGCTGTGGAACTGCCCCATCCACTGTCCTCACTGCTGGTTTTCTAAACCTGCTCTCAGAAGCCTTCAGGAAAGTCTGAAAGCAGCTTGAAGAAATTCGCAGGTCCTCGGGGAGGATGGATGGATTTTGAGTCTATTAAAATGAGGACTCAGTCTGTTGGTAAGAACTGTAGAGATAAACACAGCCCTTTCCAGAGATGGCAGTCCCAGGAAGGTGGCCCAGCACTTGTACTGTCCTTGTCACTACTGCAGAGTCCTTGATAACTCAGATACCACAGGAAGACACTGTGCCTTGTTCTGGTGCATCTTGATTATTAAGACCCAACCAAGTTCTAAGCTACATCCTTGAGATAAGAGCAGGTGTGACAGGAGAGACAGGAAAGTACAAATCAAGGACGAGGTGCTCTAGTGGCATGTTTAACTGGCCTCTAAAAAATCACACATTGGTGACTGCATACCCTTGTTTTGTGTGGTGCAGTTCACAGTAACCTGATGTGGAACCAGTCTGAATGTTCCTCAGCAGGAGAGTGCGTAACAAAAACGTGCTGTGTATACACAGTGAGTGTTATTTAACCACACAAAATTGTGCCATTTAGGGGAAAATAGATGGAAGCGGAGAGCATCATGGTAAGCAAAATAAGCCAGCCTCAGAAAGGCGAGCCTCGTGTTTTCTCCTTTATATGTGGAAGATGACATGAAAGTAGGAGGGAGACAATTTTGAGAAAGTAAGAAAGGGAAAAGGAGGAGCCTGGTATAGGAAGGTGACGGGGCAGGAGATGATCAAAATGTATTACACAAAGTGAAGCCTAATATTTTATTTTTTTATTTAAAAGAAAAAAAGACACAGAAAGGGAAAACAAAAAGCAAAAGAGACCACCACCACCAACAACACACTCAAAACAATAACAACATAGGCTTTCAAAACAAGACGATAGAAATGTAACAATGGTTGTTATATTGTATATTGTTGTCTTCAAAAGAGTTGCTTAGATGATCAGATACAGACATGCAAAATGGATCTAATCACATGAGTATTAACTTTTCTTTTCCAAGAACTAATAGACTTAGTAGGATAGTCATCTTAGCTGTCTTATGTATATGCATACAAATTTATATCTTTTTCCTTTTTTCTTCCTTTTTTCCTCTTTCCCCCTATCCCAGTAACCTTTCCCTTTTGAACAGTTTCTTACCCTTACACAATAATTATTGTACACTTTGGCTCTTATTTGCTCTTTCAGTGAACCTAATATTTTGTAAAATTAACAAACACTAATATATATTTTAAAAAGGAAATTCCATATCAGGCCCACAGTCTATAGCACTGTAGCTCCTGGTTGTCAGCCCTTCCTGGTCACTCTGTGCTACAACCTTGCATTTCTCTTCCTGCAATTCTTCTTTCTACCGTCTTTCTCTCTCCATCCTTGAATCTTTTTTCTCTCTTCCCCGTTGTGCCTGAGGGATACCAGTTGAAACACAATCCTTCATGATGCTGCCAACATTCAAAATTTCATGAAAACATCTCAGCTCTTCAAAATCGGCTAAATTCGGGAGCCATTTCCCAATGGGATATTTATATCAGAGTGTTTTGGCTTAGTCTTTTTCCTTGAGTGCTTTTGTGTTTGCTCTGAGCAGTGGAGAATCGTGGAGGTGCATGGGGGTCGAGGATCCACAAGAGAAAGGTCCCAGCTATGCAGCACCAATGACCACTTGTTTAGATCCTATGAAAAAGACTTCTTTGCATTTTAACAGAAGGAATAAGTCTCAGAGTAAGATAAAGCACTTCATGCCGCCAGTATGAGACCAAGCAGCAAAATCCTCAAAGCCATTTAGCACTCCGGCTACCTAACTGCTTAAGGGTTATCCAGGATAGGGAACTTCTGAAGTGCAATGGGGGCCAATCCAAGGGAATTATGGTAAAAGACAAAAGCGTAAAGGGATCTGTAATTATTCTTCTTCCTAAAACTCAGGGAAGAGCAGTCTACAAAATAGAGCATTTGCTTCATCTTTCATAAAACTACAAGGAGATGATAGATCAACAACCTGGTTGACAGCTGAAAAACTGCGTCCAGTGTGGGCTGTCACGGGGCCGGTGCACAGTTCTGTGTGTCTTTAGCAAAGTGCGTGCTTCTCAAAAAGTAAATAACACAACCTTGCAATGCTCAAGCCAGACTTTGTTATTTGAGGACTTGGACAAGCAGTGGGTATGAAGGGACCAGGGAACATCTCCGTAGAGGTCACTTTTTAGTTGGGGTCTTTAGAGAGAGAATGTGGGGTGTGGGTGGATGCAGAGGTGCCATCTTTATATCTGTGACCAAGTCCCTCATCTAAGCATACTGAAGGACAGGCAGGGGAGAGGGGATGCGAGAAGCAAAGGCAAAAGGCATTCTGCTTCATAGCTGCTGAACAGGGAGTGGAAATAACTCCCAACCAGTCAAGAGAGACGATGAACTGCCCGAGCTCATTTTTAGCCATGGTCATCAGCTTATCTGTGAGCCTTGGAGGGAAGCATGCCCTGATCCTAACCTACATGCCCTTAGCTGATTGTGACCCTGGACAGAGCAGGGAGCAGTGTTAGGTGAGTGGGTGCTTCAGGGTTAGAATCCAAATCCGTCTGCCATCTGCTCTGTCTCACTCTCTCTTTTTTTTTTTGTGATTCTGGAAATTAAATTCCAGGCCTTACTCATGGTAAGCAAGTGTTGTAACCTCTGGTCCACATTTCCAACCCCTTCTGTTTTTTAAAGCAAATTATGGGCCAAATATGTCTTCTTCATTAAAATATTATTAATAACTGGAAAAATGCAAAGTGGGTCCTCTGTGTGGATCGATATGGTGAAAATGGGAGGAGGAAAGAGGACAGACAAGAGAAGCAAGAAGTACAGAGCAGAAGGCAGATGGGAAGTACGCCTGGCAGGGAGAGCTGTTCGGGGAGACAAGGAGCCCTAGAGCTGTCTGCAGCCTCAGGAAATGAAGGAGGACACCGGCCTCTCCAGAAAAAGCCGAAGAGCAAACACAAGGTGTTGAAAAGCATAGCACCACAAGGGGTGGAAATCGGACTGGAGGAGCTTCGGGAAATAAGAAAAAACAAATGAAATAATTGCAAAAGTGAAAGTTCTCCTAGAGAATAGCAAGAAGCAGAAAAAGATCTTGGAGAAGCTAGTAATGATTTAGAGGTGAAACCTGAAAAGAATCATCTAAAATAGAGGAGAATTGAAGAGATATAGACGATTAAAGAGATTCCAGGAAAAAGAACAAGGAAGGGAAAATTTTTAAAAAGGGAAGTTGAAAAGGGCAAATTATTTTAATAAAGAAAGAACCAAACGTCTGATTTAAATGATATGACATATTTAGGAACAAGTAACACTTAAGATATATTGAATACCGAGATTTGAGAATTTAAAAAAATTCTTTGAGTATTGGATTGTTGTGTATTCCATTACTATAAGGAAATACTTGAGGCTGGGTGCTAGATGAGGCAAAGAAGTATTTAGCCATAGTCTTGGAGGGTCAAGGGCATGGTATGGCATTGGGTTACCTCTCACGGCAGATGGCAGATGGTGGCAGCCTGTGTGAGAGAGATTGTGGGCAAGAGGCCAGTGAGCAGGGTGGAGCTGATCGTGCTTGTCTATATCAGCCTTCTGGAGAGAACTAACTAGGTTCTAAGAGAACCACCTCAGTCTCTCCCAACGGCAGAGACCTGGTGACTCCCCCCACACCTGGCCTTGGCTTTTTAAGGTCCCTCCACTGAGGTCTACACCTCTGATACATGACCTTCTGAGGAACACATTCAGTCCATCTCCAAATGATAGCAGACATCCAGGCAACAATACCCACACAACAGTCATGACAGTAACAATAAGACATAACCCACTATACAGGGAATTGATTCAAACTGCCCCTAGGCATCTTCATAATATTAAAATTCATGAAATAGTGGTTTAATGTCCACAGAGAATTAAAGGAAAGGGTACATGATGTGACAGTTTTACATGCTGGCAAATTAAAGCCCCTACCAAGTCACCTCGTGTCAGTACAGTCAGCACCCCTGCACTGTTTTAAAAAATAAACTTGCTGTATGGTAAAGCAAGAGGATGGTCATCTAAATAAGAACCCAGGACCAGAGAAATCCGTGCTAGGAAAGGACAGGTGATGGATGAGAACTTATTTGAGTCTAATTTAGTATTAAGACCAAACATCACAGGAACTGAAAAGGGTCAGAACATGAGGTATGATCAAAAAATACAGAGTATGGCTAAATAAAAGGAAATTAGTACCGTAAGAGACCCCCATGAAATCCCCGCCTCTTCAAGCTACTTACTCCCTTTCTGAAACGATGCGGGCAGATGGCATCTCCGAGACAGCACGGAATTATGCTGACATTCCTGCCACTTTCAGAAGCAATTCCAAGATCCTCACTTGTATGATTTGCTGGGCTGTGATGGGTGCCTTGATACCCCAAACTGATACAAAATGTTTACTTTTCATGGTCACCTTGACTCTAGGGAAGAGCCAGCAGCCCCATGGCCAAATCCACCTATGAAAGCCATCAGAACACAGCCAGTAGCGCTGACACGAGCCTGCCTTTTTTTTGGATGGCACATAGAGCAGAAGCCTTCACCATATTTTTGATCGTATCTTGTAACAATGCTCATGAAAGAGGACTGTGGAACTGCTCGAGAAAGCATATAAATATGTTTCTAGAGAAGGAGAGAATTTTGAGAGGAATTTTGACAATGTGTCTTTTACTATAATGTAGTTTAAAAATTTAAATATTTTGATTACCCCTTATAAAATAATCTTGAGAGGAGGATCTGGGAGAAGAAAGGAGTATAGATATACAAATTTCCTTCTCTATCACCATTAGGACAACAGATAGCAACTAAAATTGATAAATTAAGAAATAGAGAATTCCTGTTATCTTAAATTGTATAGGAAATCACTGGAAGAGTTAAGACAAACCATACACCTTCTAAGGTACCAGGAAGGGAAACATGCACACATGCTCAGAAAGACAGAAAACAAAGCAACTGTTGAGAAAATATAATGTAAATACAAGGTTCAGCTATAGGAGGAACGTATACTTAGGAATGTAACTTAGAAATAAAAAGGTAGACAAAAGTCACCTAGGCAAACGTAGACCAAAGATCCACCTCAGTAATCCCTCCTTTGGGATTTAGGCAAAAGCTGTTAAGCCAATTTGAAGACTTTCTAAAAGTCATTCAGTCCTAATTTGCTGCCACCCTGCATCCATGGCTGCCATCCTCCAAAACCTGAGAAACAAATCCTGAGGGCCTGACCCGTGGTGAGTCTAGTGCCCACTTCATGCAGGCATCCTGGGGACAGGGGGACAGGAGGTGACAAAGCAGAACTGGCCTTTATGGCCATAGGTTCCTTTTACAGATTTAACTGGGCCTTACTGCACCCCAGTTTTGCATGTGAAGGTCCTCACCCTGCACCCCAGAGTGTGACTTCACTTGAGGCTGGGGTCTTTGCAGCTGCAGACAGGTAAGATGAAGTGAAAAAAGGGGGAGTCCAAGACCAAATGGGCATGCAGGAAGGGTGCCATGGACAGAGCTTCTGCAAACCAAAGGACTGCAAGGAGCTAGGAGGGAGGCCTGACACACCCTTCCGGAGCACCTTCCCAGGGCACTGCTGACAGCTGGAGTTTGAATTTCTGGCTGCCAGGACAGTGGAGGAGCACATTTCTGTTGTTCTAAGTCATCCTGTAGTGATGCTTGCTCATGGCAGCCTGACAAACACCATGCACCTTCCCCCGTGACTAATTCCCCTACTGCTCCCTGCCACTTCGCACACCTGCCAAGGTTCTCCTGAGGTCCACATCCCATGGCCCTTTCCTTCCACCCGCCGTCTCCACCCTGGTGAGGCAGTGTCTTCTTGCCTGTGAGTCTGTCCTTCAGCAGAGTAGGGCCACATTCACATGACTGCAGCGTGCTAGGATGATGGGAGTCTGCAGGAATAACCTGCACAGTGTTCAGGGCTGTGGGAGGTGAGACTCAGTGAGCAGGAAAGAGAGCCCCATAGAATCTACACTGAAGTGTCACCTTGATTCCTTATGGACTGGATCCACAGTAGCATTAAAGACAACTGCCTGAAAAGAAATCTGCAAGGAACCCATGTGGAAGTCCACAGAGTATGGGCACATCTGTGCCAGTGGGACCCGGGGGTCATCGGGGGTAACCTGGGAGCAGGATTGTGTGGAACTACTGTTTTGAGTCCTGCCACTTTATCACTGTTTTCTGTCTCCATGATGACCCTTATGCAAAGTCAAAATGTCACCATGGATAGCCCAGATGACTATAGGATGGCATCAGGCTTGAGCTGTGTGCCTCGAAAGAATGGATTGTTTGATGTGACTGCCTGCATGTGTGGATTTTACCTTCACTGGTCATTTCCTCTTCGCTTTCAGATCGTGGCCAAGAAATACAGAGATTTTGAATTTCCTCCTGAAATGACTGGCCTCTGGAGATATTTGGACAATGCTTATGCGAGGGATGAGTTCACAAACACCTGTCCAGCTGACCGGGAGATTGAGCATGCGTACTCCGATGTTGCCAAAAGGATGAAGTGAGGCTGGAGCGCTCCTGTTTTATTTCTCAACTAAATGAGCTGCAAAAAGAGCGCATTCTGTGTGTCTCCTGCAGCGCCGACCCTCTTTTGCAAAGTAACGCCAGTAGCCTCATTAAATACCAAATGACACATGGCCCAGTCATATGTCAGCTCAGCTGGTATCTGTTATCACCAGTTGCCTACTGTATGTAAACTGAGTTTTTGACACTCACTGATGTCACAGTCTGTGGTATTTGGGGTGTGTGGTTTGCAGTTTAAGCTTCAAAGCCAATTAGGTTTGGGTTTAGTTCCTTCCATTTTAAAAAACTTGGGTCTGTCTTTGACAGGTTTAATAATCACACATGGCCTGTTTTCTACCCTTAAATATTAGCTTAGGCTTTTTTTTTTTCAAAATGTAAACACTTGTTATAATTATAGTGATAGATACTGGTTTTAAAACAGTATCAGAGAGATAAGAGCAAGAAACAAAAATCGCCTACAATTTTATCCCACTTGATCACTGGTAATTGGTTGGCAAATGTCTTCCAAGTCTTGAGTCTGCTGTGTGAGCACAAATACAGTTGCACTATGCCAGTTGCATCGTCTGTGTGGATGTTATAGTGGACTGGAAGAGGGACCTCTTGGTAGTGCCTGGCTATCCATCCACAGAGGACCTAAACAAAGAAAAATGGTCAGCCCTACACAGCTGCTCTAAAGAGACCGGGGCATGCAGAGTGTGCAGAGCCTTGGGGTCCCCTGGGAGCCCCTGTGATGAAGCCAGCCACCTACCTGGTCACCACCTCGGAGCTGCCTCTGCCTCTGGTTCCAGCAAGGGCACCGGAGGAGGGGTGCACCTGAGCCTTTGGTCCCGGCTTCCTGTCTGATGCTCTCTCTTTTCCCACCCCTCTCATGCAGTCTGTGCCTCCAGAGGGACCCCCCACAGGGCTGGCCTGCGCTGAAATGTGAACCATGCACGCCTTGGTTCTTTCTCTGGGCTGCTCTCGCGAAGGTCCAGTCTTGCTGTTCTCCGATGACAATGATGATGGTGGTGATGCCTTTGCCCAGTCATCGCTGCCGCTTTGCTCTTTCATCTCATTTAGTGGTTGGGCTGGAAAAACCCAGGGAGATGAAATGCATGGTGACTATCGTGGGCAGTTCTGGTAAATGGTCCCATGAGGGCGGAAATGGAAAAGATTGACTCAAAGAGTTTCTGGTCTATCTGTGGCTTTTTCTCCTCCAACCGTGTCACCCACCTGCATCACAGTTGTGTGTGGGAGCTGATGCTGGGCTCCACCCCCAGACCGGGAGAAGAGGTGAGGCTGCTCGGCCACTCCTCAAGACCTCCCAGGTTTGTCCTTGACATTCACAGGCACCTCACAGAAAGCCTTCTTCTGCAGAGTCAGATGAAGCTAAAATGCTCATTCTCTGTTCACACATCTGCAAAATGGGCGATTGGTTTGAAAGCGAGTAAAACACACCAACAGCGGCAACCCTGGAATGTGGTGAAAATGCCTTGTCAGGAAACAGAGTCATTGATAAGGTGCCGCTTTCTTTGCTACTTCCTGGATGCTGCAGATTAATGGCCGCAGCCTTCCCGCCCTGTCAACCATGCAGGTTTGGAGGTGTCGTCTCTCCCGTCTCACTGGGGTCCATGCTGTGACACATCTGTTTAAGAGTCAGGTTTTTAAATCTCATTTTATAAGGTTACACTTAAACTTGGTGAATGAGTAGACAACCAGGTGTTACCAGCACCGATTTTGTATTTTTAGATGTTAAAATGATCAGAAATGCTGTGTGCCTTAAAAATTAAATGAATTATGAAAACATATAAGTGGAAGCATCTCAATCTCTCTCTCCCCTTTGGATTTTCCATTTTAGCTCTAAGAAAACAAACAACAACAAAAACCCCTATGGGCTGCTGTTAACATAGCAATGGCAGATTTGAGCCAGACGTGAACCGGCTGAGTTAGAAGTATCCATTATTGAGGCTCAGCACTCTACCAAAGCTTGCAGAGGCCTGAGCACACATGTGTGACCTGCCCGTGTCCCTGCCGCCTGTGTGCTGTTACCTGTGGTTATAGGGAAGCTGCTTCTCATGTTGAGCACAGGTTCCCGCAGCCCTGCCCCTGCTCTCGAGAACCCCTGACCCCCCTCTGAGTCCCACCCCAGCCTCTCCCAGGCCCCTCCTCAAGCTCACTTTCTAGCCTGCCAAGAGCCACATCTGTGTGGGGAGGTGAAAAATACCCTGAGGCTGTTCTGCTGTTCTGTTTAACATCTTTATTCAAGCACAGTTTTAAAACACAATGTACAAATATTTGGTCTTCAAAGCACACCATAGAGAATGCAAATATGGGCAGGGATGCATCTCTTTGGGAGCTGCGTGAAAAGCTCTGGGACGGGAAAGAGTGCCTTCTGCTTTCTCAACACTGAAGATGCCAGATAACTAGGAAATTAACAGGACAACAGTGCTAACCTTTCCTCCTACGCAGCCTCCCGTACCAGGCTGAAAATAACTTGGGAGCATTCCATTAGGCTTCGGGATGTTGCCCAGAAAGTAGGCACAAAGAGACAGAATTTAGCCTGGGAAGGGACTTGTAGAGACCAGAGGTCGCAAAGATGATTTCCGGTGGGCAGATCTACCTCCAGGAGTGAAAGGCCTCCACTCCCCTGGTGAACAGATTCACAGCACTCACACACACCCCACGTATTCAGACATACACAGAATTTACTTACAGGCGCACTCGCCAGATTCGCATCCACACACGTCCACACACCTGCACACACACCCTGCGAGGGCTTGCCCTCGGGATCCCTTTCACTGTCCTCTAGCAGTGACCAATAATTCACTTTATTGCCTGGACTCCTCAGTCCTCACCTTCATAGCAAAACTTTGGAAGGATTCTAGAAGAATAACTTTTATTTAATTTTTTAGGAGAAAATCCCAACCTTTCTTTTATTGTACAGTTAAGAGAAACTGTGAAATACATAAAATGGATAAGTTAAGGAGATGTTTGTTCACATTACAAAGTGACCTTAGTCCCCAGAGTGATTTAATTTTGGACTGTTCAGCCAATTTCCCATTTGAACTTTGAATTTTGGCTCAAGGCGTTACCATACTTCTGGATGTGGCCACTTTACAAAGCTATACAGGTAAGTGGCCCCTGATCCCAGAGTGCTTGACTGCATTGTTCACTGCGGAATTATAGGTCCAGGGCACCAGAAATCCCCTGCTCTGTGTGCCCAGGGACCAGGAATGATAGTACATGCCATTGTAGCCTTGATTTAGCAAAGTCATTGTTCCCATTGCAGAGATGCCAGCTGAATCTTTGTCAACTCTTGCTCAAAGAGGTCATTTATTAAGGAGTGTTTATAGCTGTCCTTATCTGAGTCTAAGCTGGTGGAGGTGGCCAGGTCAAATCACGGTCCAGGAGAAACTGTTCAAAAGTGTGGAGCCACACAAGTGAGGTAGAAGCTGTGTATTGAAGGAATTAAAGTGGGGTGAGCTACCAGTAGGATCTAATTCACATGATGGTCCCTTCATCCTTTAGGGGAGCTGTAACCCACTGTCCCCTCTTTACAGGCATTAGGCCATTTCAGCTGGCTGTAACAACCCTCTCAAAGAGAAGTCACTTTCCTTGACTACACCTCTTGCTCTCAACTCTCCCTTGGTCCCCTTCTGTCGGGGTCCTTGATCTCCTGGTGAGAAGACAAACAATGTGGCCCTCCCATGGCAGCCACCGCTGGACTGCTGGGCTCCTTGCAAAGCCATTCCTCCAGGGGGCTAAGGCTTGTAAATCTAGCTTATGTCCTTTTCTGAAGCTCTCACCTTTTATAATGCAAAATCAACCCTTGCTGGAGCCTTGTAAGAGTCTACTAATCTTTTGGATTCACTCAGGGTCCAGAATACCCAGAATACCTACCGTGGAGTAATTGCAGGCCCCAGACGGAGGGAGAGTCCATGCTCAGGATTCTCCTGGTTTTGCCTTTCTTTGCTTTTCCTTTCTGATATCAAGGACTAACAAATTTCATGCATCAATGACTTCTTCACTTAAAGAATTTTTGAAACTGTTTGATGTATAAGAAAACAAAAAGGAAACAACAGCAAAGTCTTCAGACACAAAAGGTTAAATATTGCATGGTTTCTCCTGCACAAGAAGTCCCAAGTATAAGTTACTTTCAGAACAAAATAAAAGATAGATGATAAGAAACAGGAAGAACTTTGAGGGATGGGAAGAGGATTTAGGGATGGAGGGAGAACAAAGGAAGGGAAGAGAAAAATGGGAGATTTAAAAAGACTAAGATACAAAATGTATTTAAGGAATTAAAGTGGGGTGAGCTACCAGTGGGATCTAATTCACATGATGGTCCCTTCATCCTCGCCACAATGAATCTATTCATTGTGTATCACAAACCTTCAGTACTAAAAAAATAACTTCAGAAGACGTAGGGTCCTAATCCCTGCCCCATAACTCTGACTTGTCTGAATGATCATTTAACCCCTTGGCCTCACTCCTCTCATCTGGGAAATGGGAACATGGTGGGTGTTTTTGGAGATTCTCTGCAAAATCTGCATGGTAGATGGCTTCATGCAAATGAATTTCTCTGGTATTTACTCTTTTTATTGCATAACAATTGTAAACATAAGTTATTAAAATGGACAGGGTGTGTGTTCATGAACTTGTAAAGACTTCAGTGTTTCTTGCAGTGGTGGGAGGGAGTTACACTCTGAATTCCTGATTCCCTACAATAAAACACTCTCCTTGATATGGTGGTCAGGACCATTCAACTATGCCCTCTAGGCAGTCTCCGTGGGCTGTCCAGGTCTCCAGGGATGATCCAGGTGTCTGTCCAGTACACCGAGTTTGGCAACTCCGTGCTGGATCAACAGCGTTATCCTGGGCCCCGTTCATCTGGTCGGAGTCGCCGTTTTCGGTTGTACAATGTTTACAGGAGACCCTGAGAACTGGAAAAGCAGATCAAGCATGCGCGTCTCTAAAACCACCCCTGGTGCACCTAGGGAAGTTCCTCCTTTTTACCACTAGGTGGCGCTCCCTCCCACCCCTTTGGAACGGGATGAGCCTCAAATCACCTTCTGCTACTCTGCACTTAAGAAAACAGAACTTGAAGTGCTTGTTCACTGGTCTCTTAGTCACCTTTTTCATCACTAACATGCATTACCAAACGCCCACAGCTTAAAGGAGGGGCATAAGGAGGAAGAGCTGCTCACATCAAGGTAGTCAGGAGAGTGGGTGGCACTGGTCGCCCCATCCAGTGACCTAATTTTTCCAAATGACCCCATTTCTTAGCAGCAAGCCAGCTACATCACCTCTGTAATTTCATTGCCCCTCAAACTCTTGAGGTTTTGGGGGCCATTTTGGACCTACACCCCAACAGTCGGGTTGATGCATCTAGTCCGACGCAGACTCAGGCTGAGGATTTCATCCAAACCTAACCCAGCCCTCAGGGTGACATCCTGGGGTACCTCACTTACATGTCAAAGGTGGCCTTGCAGGGTCAGAGAAGCAAAGTGTGAAATGGATCCTAGCCCGGGCTAAGCCCTGGACTCAGCCCTGGCTTCCAGGAAGACCACAGCCAGGTACTGGGTCGTGTTTCCTCCCTCAAGGGAGAGAGACCCTGCTCTGTCCTAGGACTGTCAGTCTTGCCCTAGAAGCACCTTCGAGGACAAGAAGCTCCTTGTCACTTCAAACATGAACACAGCTCGCTCTAGCTATGCTCTGACCCATTTTCTGTTTGCAAAAGGAGAGAGAGGTATGTGCGTGGGTGAAGGGGGTGCAGATGGGCCCTGCTTCATAGAGTCCAGGAATTGCAAGGAACCTTTGGCTTGCTCCTTACATAAGAAAGGAGGCACAGACTGTGAGGTTTGAGAAGGGGAACGAGGCTCCTGCTGATGGGGGAACAAATATCCTATTTATTGGACACCCATGGGTCTGGAACCCAGTCCCTCTGCTGACTGTACTGTTCCCAAATCTATTGCCAGTTAACAAAGCCATCCATTAGACTGTACCCTGTGACTGTATTCCAGGTAGTCAGGCAGCTGGACATTGGGTGTTTCTAGCCAGCCAGGCCACAATCACCCATTTCGCAGCTAGGCTACTTCGCTGACTGAGAAGAGAGCGTAATAACTGTATTGTGACCATCTGTGACTGGGTTGTCACAGCGTCACACTCAGCTTCTATTAATTGAAGCCCAGCTGTCTGCAGGCTCCTGGCTGGCTGCTGCAGGGCTGACTTCTTGAATGCATTCTTGCTGAAGAAGGGCACCTCACTACCTGTCTTCAGGTTTGGAACGGCCTGGACTAGGTGGCATGACCAGGGAGGCTCTGTGCACATTTTCCTGTCCGGGAAATGAACTAGCTAAACTAAACAAGAAAGAGGCAGACTTGGGAGGCTCCAGGAACAGGACTGGAGGTGTGTGTGCACATTTGTGCATGCAGGGAGAGAAGGAGAGCCTGGGGCAGGAGTGGGGATGGTGATGGTGCTGGCCACAGGTATGCAACCCAGCGGACTTTTTAGGAAATTACCGCTTGTCTTGCTTGGGGTTGGCGCAAGGGAGGAGATGAGAGGCTTCCAGGCTCACCTGTGCCCCTGGGTAGTACTGCCCAGCCGTCCTTCTCCTGCCATTTTATGTGCCCAAGTATTCAAAATGCCTGGAGCAGTTCTCTTATTATTTGGACATTTTCCTGAAAGTGTGGGCTGAATTAAAAGTCCAAGAAAACTGGGAGTTTTCTTTTAATTTTCTTATTTGTTTGTTTTGAGGGATTCTGGGAACTGAGTCCCAGGCCTTTTTCATTGAACCACACTGCAAGTTATT